CTAGTTAGGTTAACAACTAGTGCTGGCGGCCCTCCGAGGCCTGGTTAGGGCAGCGGCAGCTAGTTAGGTTAACGACTAGTGCTGGCGGCCCGACCAGACTCAGACCCTCCGGGACCCACAGCAGAAAGGCCCCCCAACAGGGTCTCGCACAGCCAGACGTCCCACCGCACCCCCTGCTCTCCCCACCCCCCAGCCTTCGCCCTCGCCCCGCTCCCGGCCCCCATGAAAGGAAACAGTTCTTTAAAAAGCACGTGTTTGAACTTGCTGAAAAGGAGGCTGGGTGTGAGGGACTCCCTGGGGGATGCTAACAGCTGCGCTCGGACCTGGTGGTGGTGACCTGGGTGCGGAGGTAGCAATGGCCTCGTTGCACCGCGTGCGTCTACTCCAGCCAGATGCCCCCGGGTGGGCACCGGGGAGGGATCCCAGGGGCAGCATGGCCGGATGTGGGCGACTGGCAAGTGGGACATGAAGGGAGGGTCCATTAGGCAGTCCCTGCCTTTGTACATGTTATTCAAGTAGTTTCTTCCCTTTTGTGTAAACTTGGGGAACCACTTTTTTTAAACGTGGCGTCTCCTGACGGGTGAAAGGGAGTGGGAGGGAGGTTGTCAGGAGCACAGGTGACAGCAGATGGCGTCCAGATAAACTTGACGTTCAGAGGCCCTTTTCTTTATGCTCAGCCGCGATCGCATGGCTGAGCCACGGGGCCACTGCACTGCTGCCCACAGCTCAGGGTAGCTCTGGGCTCAAAGCAGGGCCGCGCACAAGGGCGTTTGGTTATTATGAGAAGGTGAAGTAACACCGCAGGTGTGGCATCCGATGTTATGAGAGCTTTTTAAGAAGCAGGCCTGCTTTGTTTACAGCTGACCCCAACGGGTCACACACTCTGTACCATTGCAGGCAGAGCACCAGGAATGGGGTGCTGCGTGTGGAGGGCAGGCCGGGGACAGTCACGGCGATGAAGCGGAAGCTCTTTAAGGGTCTTTGGTGAAGCAGCAGGGTCAATAGTAAGCCATCTGTCTCACGAATGATCTCCCAAACCCCTGGTAGGTGGTGACACCAGCAGGCATAGGGCCTTGAGCAGGGGTTGGCAAGCTTTCTCTGCAAAGGGCCAAGGAATCGTTATTTTTGGCTTTGTGGGCCACAGAGTTTGTTACAGTTACTCAGCCCTGGCACGGGGAGTGTCAAAGCCGCCTTAGACAGCATATGAAATGGGTTGTGCTGTTGAGCTTTAGTTACACAAACAGGCTGCGGACAGGGTTGGGCCCATGGGCTGCCCTTTGCCAAGAGATAAGCAGGAAATACCTTCCTGTCTAGCAAAGCCCTATCTACCCAGGTGAGAGTTCTGTGGTACGAGGTTTGTTCAGTCTAAAGCAAGCATGTCAAACTCATGGCTAACGGGCCGCATGCTTCGTTTATTTAAATAAGCGAGTTTGACATGCTTGTTCTAAATGCTGGGTAGACTTAGAATAACACAAAGTCCCTTTAAGATTTGGGAGAGCAAGACTAACCTGGGGCTCCTTACTCCTACTTTTAAGATAAGGGAGAGCAAGACTTCAGCAGGGTCCGCGGTGTACTTACAATTCAGAGAACGCAGGGTGCTCAGAATGAATTGCCAAACATATCAAAATAGAGCTAAGCAGAAGCAATGAGGAAGTTAGGCCACAGCACAGAAACACCTAGTATTGATTGAGCTACAAACCGTAGTTTGATTATGGCCCATAAGGTAGAAGCAAGCCTCCCCGAGCTTTTCATTTCTCATACATGCAGCGATATTAGGAGGTATCATTGCTGTAGAAGGGAGGGCCCAGCACCAAGAACAGTCAGAGAGAAAGAGAGAGAAAGAGAAAGAGAAAAAGTTGAACATTTAGATTCCCTGTAACAAAGAGGAAAGAAAAAAAAATCTGCATTTGTTAACATAGGGCAAAGAGAGTTTATTTGTCCAGTCAGACAGTCTAAGGCAACACTCAAATAAGGCTGCAGAAACCGCAATCAGAACACTGACGTTTTAGACAGCCATAGAAGGTGACTCGGGACCCAGACAATAGTTGCATCCTTTTTTCTTTCTTTCTTTCTTTTTTCAAACAACTGGGACAATGACAGGCTGGCATAGGAGAGCAATTAACAATAAACAACAAAAGAACAAAGTGCCCTCCCTCCCCCCTGAAGACCACGGCTGTTAAATTAAGTACAAAAAACTCATTACAAAAATAGCCTCACAGAGAAGCAGGTTCCAATCAAGTCAGAAAAATATTGGAACTTAACATATTATAACCCATTTGTGACTCTAATCACTAGAATTAGAGATTCAGTCCAAATGACACATGGAGACATTACAGCAGCACAACCCTGGCATGTTCAACCCATCTTGGGAAACCGAGCATTTAAATGATCTTTATTTTTAGCCCAAAGAACATTTATTAGTGTTGGATTTTCATCCTCAGTGCAACAGACACAGGTTTGGAGAGGGTACAGAGGTTACTGACGGTGACTCTGAAATGAATTATCACATCCAACAGAAGCATAGGGAAGACAGAAAAGGGAGACAGCGTTACACAGTTTCAGGGCATCCATACACCTATCAGGGTTCCATACCCAGCACAGCTGTAACATCTCAGTGTTGTTAAGCTACCTTCCCTGTGTGTGGTTGGCCATGTCTGAGGGGGCCTCATCTGATAGGCCACCTCCACTTTGGGCCCCTCATATTTTGCACCTGGATGTCCCAACACTTGGGAAGGCTACCCTTCAAAGGAGTTAGCCTTGTCCTTGAGCTGTATCTGAATGAAAGATCTCTTCAAGTCCAAAATGCAGCTGGGAATTGTGCAGAGTGACTTTCAGAAAAGAGGGTGATAACAGATAAAATCCCTAATAAAGGGGACTGACGCATATGGGGACCATTCAATCACAGTTTCTATAGAAACTTTTGTAGACCTTTGGTTGGGAAGAAAAGCCCTACATCTAGGGCATAGCTTTTTTTTTTTTTAAATTTTAAACAAGAATCTCAAATAAATAGGACATAATTATTATAATATACAATATTTTGCCATGAGGACACTAAGCTATTTAAAGATCCTTGCTGTTCAGTCAAATCATGTCTATAGATATGACAAAAGAACTTTATGCATAATCTGGCTTTCCCCATAGGAAAGGTATAGTCATGTGTTTCCCTCATGATGAGCACTGGGAATCTATTCCATCCTTTAGCATTTAAAAACATATGGCTAACATAGCAACAGTTTTGTTTTTTTTCTACGAGTGGGCTCAGGTAGTCTCATTTGGGGCAGCAACTGGAGGGGGGACGCAGAGTGTTGTATACAGAGCATAAAGGAGGTGAGCAAGGCTCCCAAACCATCTCAGAATTTCACGTCTCATAAATAAGACATCAAGTAACCACAAAAGAAAAAAATAAAAAGAATTGTGCCTCAACATATCACTCAGGAAACCTGCTTTCCTGCTTCTTAAAAGGAGTAGAGTCATTTTGTGCTAACAATTGGATCTGAGAAACAGTTTGGCACAGTTCAAACAATCATTCCTTCGCTCTTGGTCGGACTAGACAAAATGTTTTCTCTGATTATCAGAAAGGGGGCTATTAAGATCTTGTCTTAGGCCATGCCCCAGTCCATGGAAGGCAAGCAAAAGGATGAAATGTGTAGAGGTTTCAGAACAAGCGAGGCAAATAATCATGGTGCGGAAGGCTGGTAAGACACTGGTGAAGAGGGGAAACAAAAAGACTTTCCTGCTGCAGTTCTGGAGACAGAGTCATGGAGTCATGCCAGGGAAGGAGGGGAGGTTTTCATAGTTTGACCCACCATATTCCGGTACCGAGCCGTCGCCCCGCTTCAGAGACAGACGCACTCTGCGGCCTCCGTTCTTAATCAGTTCAATAGCCCGAGAATGCTTCATGTTTTTGGTGGTTTCACCATTGATCTCCAAAATTTCGTCACCGATCTGTCCAAAGCAAGAGAGAACAAAGTGAGAAGACCACACAAGGGTTTCACTGGCTATTGAGGTGCTTTATGGTTGAAAGTCTTTCATTTATTGATTTCCCAAATATTTATTGTTTGCCAGAAAATCTTCTATTGCTCAGGATGCAGCAGTGAAGACAACAAAAAACTCCACAAAAATTCCTCCCTGATGGAGATGACATTCTAATGGAAATACAATTAACATGAAAATTAGAAAAGTCATCTATGTTAGATAGTATCTGAGAACCAGTTTGGCACATTTCAAAAAATCATTCCTTCGCTCTTTGGTCGGACTAGACCAAATGTTTTCTTTGATTATCAGAAAGGGGGCTATGAGTGCAAAAGAAAAATTAATAAAGCTATCAAGGGGAATGTTAATTATTGAAGGAAGGAGGATGTGGTAAGCTGCTTCCAGGATGGCCCCCTAATGAGCCCCACCTTCTTGTATTCACATCCTATGTAATCTCCTGCCCTTTGAATGTGGGTTGAAATTGATGACTTGCTTCTAACAAACAGTATATGGCAAATGCGATGAGCGGTCAGTTCAGACATAAGGTTACAAAATGAATCTGGCTTCTGTCTCACTTGCCCTCTTCTGTTCTCTCACTTTCTCAGTCGGAGGCATGCTATGAGCTGCCCTGCGCAGTCCATGCTAAGGACACGTGGGAGCGCTCAGGCCAGCAGCCCAACAGGCGCTGTATTTTGCCAATGACTCTGTGAGTGAAGCAAACCCTTCCCCAGCTGAGCCTTCCATGCAACAGCAACCCAATCCGGTTGATAACTGCAGCATTTACTGTCTACCAGCTGCTCCTCCAGACACTAGAGCAAAGGAGTAACCAAGACCAACTAGATCCTTGGTGCATGAAGCTTGTAGTTCCAGAACGCAGAAGAGCAGCACTGGCTTTGGGCCTATCACTGTTAGCTATGTGACCTTGCTTCAGTCCTTTTAACTGTGAAAGGAGATGATAATACCATGCCTACCAAGCTGAGGGTGTCAGATTGGACAAATGGGTTGTGATCTATACAGCATTATACAAAATGTCAGGACAATGGTATTTCATTCAATCAGAAACTCTTTTTAAGTGAGTAAAGACATGGAAAAGCATATCCAATGTGTTTGGAGCTTAAACAAAAAGTATATGTACACTATAAACTTGCATAGGCACACACTGTGCATATATATGCATAAAGGAAGCATATATAAGAAACTGATAAACAGTTTGATCCTGGAAACTGTATTTTTACTATGTACCATTTTTCACTGTTTAATTTTTTAAAACAAACTACATCATCTACTTCTCAATGTGGGGGAAACTCGTTAAAAAATTCAACCCGAGGAAACGTAAAAATCAAGATTGTGTCTTAAGTACAAGTATTAAATTCCCTACCTTTAGTCACTTTTTTCCTTTTTCTGCTCAGGCCCAATTTTACTCACTTTTTTCTTTTACTGACATGACTTCTGATTTTTTTAAAATTCACTGCCAATTATTTCCTATATGTGTGTCTCAATCTATGTGACTTACCTATAATGTGATGATTTTTCTTTAGTCATCTAATCTGCCCAGGAGAGCAACACGTTCATATACAATAGCAGATACTAACTATCTAAACAGAGCAGAGTGGATCCTTGCATTTGTGTATTTAAATTTTGTAGCTCTGACTACTACAGAGTGACCCCACATAGACATGCCATGGAGCAGGGTGCCTTTGCTGAGGCAGAGTCAGCAGGCTCCTGAGGCTAAGGTGAGATGGTGGGTGACCAGCCAGAGATGGAATGGAGCCCACCACTCAGAGCCTGCAGACCGCAGGCCTTCCTGCTCTCTAAGCATCCTGGTCCAGCCAGGAATTCCTGTGAAGTGATGTGTGTGCCTCATGAGACTAAGTATAACAACGATGGAAATGGGATTCAGAAATATCTCCTTTAATAATTTTGTAAGTAATTTTAATCCATTCAACCTCAAAGAGTAGAAGGGGTTCACCTAACTTCAGCAGCTCCGGCTAACTATGTTTCAGGGAGAGATTTACGCTCGGATAGGAGTCATGCATCTCAAGTATCTTGAAAGCTGTAGAAAATGTAGTTCTCATGAAGAAGGTTCTAGCCATATAATGTCAAAAAGTCACTGCCGATGACGTATTTACATCTACTCCGGATTCCTTTTCCAACTTACCCTCATCTTTCCACACCTTTCGGCAGGACCATCCTCTGCCAAGCGCAGAACATAGAGGTCCATGTTATACTCTCGGCCCCCTCGAAGGCTAAAGCCAAAGCCCTTGGCTCCTCTTTCCAGGTCCACAGTGTAAAAATCCTGCTCCTAGTTCAAGACATGAAATAGAATCATTCCGGGAGAACTTACACCCGCCCCTTTCTCTCCATCTCTTCCCAAACATCCTCTATTATGCCAATTTGACCAAAAGGCACCATCTCTACCCCCTCTTGCAGATTTTCGATTGTTTCTTAATATCCATTAGCCTGAGAAGTTTGAAGATCCAGAATTTGAAAACATTCATGAGTGTGCCTGTAGACTGCACACCAACGTGTATATATTAAAGTTTAACCAGTGAAGCTGCAATTCGCCATCTATGGCAGGAAAATTCATTACATGATACCCTGCACATTGTTGGAAGTTCAACCTCCCCACCCAATACCCCCAAAATGCCCGTGTCCACTGTTAGGGTATCAAAAGGCTCAGAAGGCCAATCGAAAAGGAACCCGTTTAACTTTGCAATAGACAGTGTTTCCCAAATTTGCTTCACCTGCCATTATTTGTGCCCCCTCTGTTACCCTGTATGGTTCAGGTATTTAGGTCTGTGGGTCCCCCCTGAAATTCACGAATCTGAGAAACACTGTAAGAAAAAGGTATTTTCTTGGCATAAATGCGGTTGCGAACACCATGAGTAGCTATCGGCTGTTTTGCTCTCGCTCTTCGATGGTCACCAAGTGCAGCTTTGTATGTTGTTGGTTCCTCCCCTGTCCTCCCCTCCCCTGGAAAAGGATATCTGGGAATATTTTTCAAAGGTAGTAAAGTAAAATGTCATTTCCTAGACAAGCAAATGTGAGCACGTATTCAGTACACCCCCTCACAAAAGGTTATTTATTTTAATTGAGGTACCTTGTAAAATATCTCATAAAAACAGCTTCAGAAAGCTGGAAGGAAACGTGGAAAGCAAAGCAAACAGAGAAACAGCCTCACCTGTGTTGCCTGGGGTGCTTTGAACTCAAACTGAGATTCCGGCTTTGGTTTGGTGGTGTTCCTGCCGAAGTGAGAGAAATAAATATAAAGACAACCTGTGGGGAAACTGAGAGAGAACCCAGGAGGATGGCGTCATGCCAGGAGCTACTTTTTGCCTTTAAACTAACAAAGCCGGGTCTGACCTGGTCTCCTGGGCCCCCTGCTGAGAAGGGGTGTGTGTGGTGGTGATGGTGGCGATCTTCTCCGCATTGGTCAGCAAAGTGGCATTCGAAGACTCTGCAGGATGAGACAGCATTACGAAATGAGGACCCTGGAGAAGACACCCCCATACTGGGGGGTGCCAAAGCCCTGTATCTGAGGGCTTCTCTGTAACCATTTCAAGTAGCTCTGACTTGAATTTCTAAACAATTAAGAGTTTGAAGAATCATTTAAAGATACTATATGATGTGAGCCATGTATTCCCCGTTACCCTTCTCCCAACAAGACATCCCCACAAATAAAAAGTTTGTCCAAGAAAATACTATCCTAAAATTGCAGCCAAGGCAGGTATCTCTCACTCTGCCCGCCACTTAAAAGTGACAGTCCCATCAAAACACTGTATCCCCAGAATTATTTCCCAGAATTGGACAGACTCATTAGATACATCTTTCTTAACATTTCCTGCAATGTATTAGCAGTATTTAGTGACTGTTCAATTTCCTCACGTGAATATTAAAATTGGAAGTGTGCTAACATCTTGTTAAACGCACACACACCATCTACCTTCTTGTCCACTGCTTTTAATGAAGTGCAACTGAAAACGTGGAGTTCTTGACAGATCTCATCTGGTATCACTTATGAGAAATTAATTTAAAAACTTGCATTTGTTAGAGCTGGAGCTTGTAAATACAAGCTGTATAAATCATGAAGCCACCCTAACGTAATAACTATGATTATATTCCTATGTAAATTGATTTTCTTCTTCACTAACCACATACCTAAGCAACTTCATTAGTCTCTAAAGTATGGAGATGCAGATGTTGAAGACATGAGCATGCCTATACGCTACACACCAACACACACACAGTCAAATTTAATCATTCATATAGTAATGCTTATGTATTTTATGAATTGTTTCTCCATCAGGATCAAGGCAGATAGCAAGTGACTATGAGCAAGCTGTACTTTAAATATTTATTTTTAGGTTGACTGTTTGTAACATGGCATAAATTTTCTATTTTAGAAAATGCTAACTATGGTGGTTAGAGTCTAAGATTTGCCTATAAATGCCTATTTAATTCACAGTGTGATAGGAAGTCTAGAATCGGAGGCACTTCAATGTTTGTCAGATACATGTATCTCCCCATCATGTCTAACCAAGTTCCTATGAGAAAATATGTCAGGTCTCACCAACTGGGATATCAGGACTGTATTTCTTTTCACTGCAGTCACGGGTGAGAAGACATCCCTCAAATCCCAACCACTTGAGGCCTATCTGCCATTATGTGTTCTTGCTGTTATGCATAGTTATTAAAAGCAAGGGCTTGAGATTTAAACCCAGGTTCAAATCTTCCTTTCCCCACTCATTAGCCATGTGACTGATTTTCCTCATCTGCCAGAAGGGGATGATGCTAGTAATTCCCTTCTCTTGGATCAAAGCAGATGAAATGTTGAGTACAGTACCTGCCCTATAGTAAGCACTCAGTACACATTTACTGAAGTTATGGCCCTTGCCATGCTTCTCCTTTTTGTTTATTGCCGTGGAACTTGTATAAATTACTTACATTCTTAGCAAAATGAGAAAGTTGAAATAAGCTGTGACTAGTTTGTATTCTAGCTATAGAGCCCACAATTCTTAGAGCCCACAATTATTACTTCTTACAAGATTAATAAGAAATGTAATTTGCCTTGGCTGGTGGCTCAGCTGATTGGAGAACCATCCCATGTACCAAAAGGTTGTGGGTTCAATTCCCAGTCGGGGCACATACCTAATTGGCAGGTTCAATCCCCGGTCTGGGTGCATACAGGAGATAAGTGATTGATGTTTTCTCTCTCTCTCTCTCTCTCTCTCTCTCTCTCTCTCTCTCTCTCTCGTCTCTCTAAAAAAAATAAAAAGCATATACTTGGGTGAGGAGAAAAGGAAAATGTAACTAGATCAAATGAACTGAAATGTGTATCTTATTCAGGGGTTAGGACAATGTTTCTCACAATCTATTTCGCCAAATATTTCTACAGATTCTGAGGTAAAAGGAACACGTGGTCAGTTAAGAGTGAGAAATAACAGGTGACAGAAATGTTTCTGCATGTCTGCATTTTCTTTTCCCGTGGACTCCTCAGAGCCTCCCCCGCCCCCCGCCCACCCCTACCCTCAGCTTTTTAAAAGAAATCCTCACCTGAGAACATGTTGAGAGAGAGGAAAGGAGAGAGAGAGCCTTTAATTATGTCAGCTTCCTTGCAAGCCTCTGAGTTGGGGAGGTGGGGCTTCTCAAATTATTGGGAGGCAGCTTAGCATAATGGTAACCAAGTCAGATTCTAGAGTCAGACTATCTGGCTTTGTATGCCAATTCTGCAATATACTGGCTGGGGCTTAAGCAAAGTTAAACTTTATGCCTCAGTTTCCTCCACTGCACATGTGGGGTAACAGTTGTGTCTTAGAGAACTGGTGCAAAGATTATCTGAAAGAAAAGTGTGACAGTGCCTGGAACATGAAAACTGCCCCCAAAAGGATGAGCATATTTTTTATGGTAGCATGTGTTCATTACTATTAAAAGCATGTCTTTATGACTGGGTTACGTGGTACAGCCAAAGTGAGAAGGGTAAGATCTTTCATCAAGCCCGCTACTGTGTGAGCACAGGGCACTAGGGCCGCAGCCTCTCATTACGACTCACCAGGAGTTTCCAAGCACGTGTACTGGTCCTTTTAAAAAACCTGATATTACTCATTGTAATTAACTTTATGGAGACTCTGTGGGAAATCAGAAGATTGTTCGGGCCCTGGGGAAATCATAATCAGGAAACCAATACGGATGTTTCCTTGTAATTACAGTGAATGTACCAACGAATTGTGAGGTCTCTCAGGTGCATGTGTGGCCTCAGTGACCAGTCTCCCAGGCAGATCACATCTCATCTCACACCATTTTCATATTTCTGTGCTTTCGTGTTTGCTGAGATACAACAGATGATTACCCAGTACGCATATAAACAACTATTTTATTAATTTTCTTCCTAACCTTCACCTGCTATTTTCACCTACTTATATGCAAATCTGGGGTTGAAGCTAAACTTTAAGCAATTTAAAAATTGACATTTAATATGCAAATAGCTATTTGAACTTCCTAAATTGTCTTGTTTTTATTAACCTATAGACCACCACTATTTACTAATCATTTACAATGAGTCAAGAACTGTACTAAGTGCATTAAATTCATTTAATTCTTACAGCTCAACGGAACAGGTACCATTAGTACCCCCATTTACAGATGGAGACATGGGGCTTAGAAAAGACAGGTAATGTGTCCAAGGTCATCAGAGAGCATCGGAGGCCCTGGCAGCTTCAAGTCTTCAGTTAGGATTAACCGAGATGTGAAGTGCTGAGATTCTCTCTAGCTTTTTAAAATACGGTGGTGAAGCCCACTGTCATAAATTTATAGCTCTAGCCCAAAGCCAAATTTGCCCGGTAATAGCAAAACCATTAAACCCAGGGCTCTGATATAAGAGCAGGTTCCAGCAGCAGTACTACGAAGGGGTGGCAATGTATTTGGCTTTTAAAACTCCAAGGCAGACAGCCAGACTGGCTGTTTTTATGATACATTCCAGAAAGTACCCCACAGCCTTCATTAAACAGTGTTTACACCCACCGCAGCTCCCTCAGAGCAATGGAAATGGCTATCGCCATTCTTCCCATGGCAGTCGTGCACCAAGAAAGCACATGGGAGCCCTGCGGTGCTGTCGGAGCGCTGTGCTCAGCCAGGCCCTGACTCCCGACAGGCTGTCTCTCTGGGGCTTCAGCAGAGCTCCGCCACCAGATTCCAGTTCTAACCTGCTCCCCTGCACTTCCTCAGCCGCCCTGCCGAATCCACATTACAAAGCCACACAAACCAACAAAAGATGCACTCCCTCCTTTCTTAAGCACTGTAATGCACAAATAGCGGAAGAAGGCCTTTGAAACCGTGAGTCCCGGCAATAATTGGAAAGCTTTGGGAGATTTTTAAAATGTGTATGATTGGAAGCTGTTCCTTTTGCCTGAGTCTATGTTAGCATCATATCCATAGAGCCTTCTATTAAGATAAACTTATACTAGTCTGTGTCTTTTCCAAGGAGACAGCAATACCTGTGTCCAAGCCCTGCCTCCTATGAAACAAATACTCTGAGACAAGGTGATCATTACTGTGGAGAAGGCTGGCGGAGAGAGGGAGGAGGAGGAGGAGGAGGAATTGGGAGAAGCAGCAGAGTGAGGAAATTTATTACCATATATTTTTAAGCTCATAAATATTCTGATTATCTTGAACTGGATTCAGTTTGATGGGTCCATGTTAGCCTGGCGCAGTCAGGGTACCCAGACTTCACAGGGTAACCCTATACGACACAAGTGGTAGGAAGAAGGTGTGGTTGACTTGTCAGATTGCAAGTTCAGATTCAGTATGTTCAGCTATTCTCTGGGCCTTTCTGTGATGTCACTATGTATTTCCTGTCTCTTACCTTATCTCATAGGAGAAAATGTTCTGCCCTGCCCTGGTCCCAGAGGAAGTAAAAGCAGAGATGGTGAGAACTCCCCTGACCTAGGTCTGCCCAACATCATCCGTGAAGGCAGGCCTTCTAACAACAGTGTCACAGAACTGTTATTGGAGGGGGCTGGCAGAGAAGGAGAGGAGAGGAGGGGAGAAGCAGGAAGAGCAGGAAAGGGGTGAAGGAGAATTGAGAGAAGAAGAAACAGAGTGAGGAAAACTAGTGAAGTTGGAGAAAAAAATAAAGGTGAATGATGACAAGAAAAAGAATTAGGCAATGTAAGTATGATAAAGGAGTGGATTCGGAATGGGTTCCAAGCACTGTCCAACCAAGAATGCATCCTCCTCAAGTGCCTCCTAGGGTTTCTGAGAACAGTTCTCTGGACGAGAGGGATTTCTCAGAGCTTAAGAACTTCCGTCTCCTCACGAGGATCGTGAAGTAAACTGTCTTTGGGCTCCCTGAAGAATTAAGCATTAGAGTGAAGGATCTGAAGGAGACCGGCGGTCCCTGACACAGAGAGAGCACCACCTTCCCTCACCACCTACCATGGCCAGCACACTTTCACAGAGAGGGAACCACCATGAGTTTCACTCTCTGCCTTCTAGGTGTTTGCAAAACCCTCCTGGATTGCTTCAGCATCCCCCCAGAAATCTAACTCCCCTGCCTCAACTGTAATCTCCAAGAAAGTGATTTTTTTTTTTTGCCTCAGTTAAAAGATGAGTATCACAAATCCACCCTCTGCTGGATTCCACTGCCTTCTCCTGGCCTCCAAAACTTACAGAGTAACTGATGGAGAGTTTTATCACCATGGCAACGAATTCCTATAGTGTCTTCAATGAAATCACAGCCTGCACAGGGCATCAGCCCTTCACTATATTGTATCAACTTCAATGCTTGCTTTCTTCTAACCAAGACAGTCTATCTGAATTTTATACTTCTGAAGTATTTAAGTTTAGAAAAAAGTTTTTTTTTTTTATTGACAACTGTTATTGATAATTCACCTTGCATTGTATTTTTTTGGTTCAGGTTTTCCAAAAATATTTTTCATTGCACTTTAAAAAAATTAGGTCAACACCTAGTATGTGCACAGTATAAGGTGTTTCTGCATATTTCTGTCTTCCCTGATTTTAAATTCTTTCGCTAAGCCCTTCCTTCAAGGAGTGCTTTCTTTCCTTCCTTTTTTGACATCCTCATTTCTACATTACGACTGACTAACATAGATCCAGCAAGTCAATTCCTATGCCCAGTTCTTTTGGATAGTTTTTGAAATTTGTCCTTGTGTCTGAATTTATATACTCCATTGGGCTCTCTCAACCATTTCTTCCTTCATTTCTCTGGCTTCCTTCATCCTTCCATTAGGAACCTCTGTCTTACCATCTGTGGTCACTCTCCTACACTGTAACAGCTTCCCAGCCTGGTGACTGGGGACTGACTCCAGACCAGCTGCTCCGCCCCTACCTGTGCCTGGGAGGCAGGCTGAAGCACGCCACCATTCAAGGAGCTAATTTTCCCTCCACATCTCAGGTGAGGCATTTTGGTGCAGAGCAAGTTCTTTGTCTTGGAACCAACCATTTTTAGTGTTACTGTTCAATTTTGGACTTTTTCTGAAAGGCACAGTCTATACTACTTGAATTTTAAACTATAAAGCTCACGTTCTAACAATTCATATATACAAATATTCATTTGGTGAATTACCTTCAGATAAAAATCTACTTTAATTATTTTCTTTTACACATCAGTGGCATAGAATTTCTATGACACTAGCTCCATAAAACCACATTTTGTCTTGAGAAGTACTCGCTGACTTTTAGAATATACATGGCATCCCCAAAAATGTATATACACTTTGAATAATTATTAATTCCAATGGGTTAAATCTGAAAAGAAAGAAACATCAATTGAGCGATCAGCTGTTAAGTTTGCATACATTTTTGGGGATACCCTGTATATTTTATCACATGCATAGCAAAAGAGGGAAAAAAAAGGATTGGAATATTTTGGGACAGGTATCAGTTTTCTCCCAAGAGCCAAATCTGCTTAGAATGAATTCAATATACAGGACTTAATTCTCAGATGAATCTATATTTAGTGAGGTATCAGCTTCATTTTTATTAAATATGAATAACAATGAGTATTGTTATTTTAGCTGGATAGCTTTTCATTGCGGGGGTCGGTGTGCACTGTAAGATGTTCAAAAGCATCCCTGGGTTTACCCATTATATGCCATTAGCACTCATTCCAGACAGTGCCACATGTCCTGGAGTGGGGGTGGGTTGGGGGGTGCAAGGGGTGGGGATCACCACTGCCATAAAAGAACCAAAGATTTGAATGTAACCAACCAAACAAACAAGGATGGGCCTAGCTTAATATACATACAACATACAAGTAAACAAAAATTACAGAGATTTAATTATATCTTCATTCACATGTAAAAATTAGCAACAAATCAAGGATGCACAAACCCTAAGACTCTTCCAATGAAATAAAACATTTGATACATTCGCTTATTCTGAAAAGACACCCCTGGCTCTGCACTGGCATTATGTAGACTCTGATGTCACCACATTACACATATATTTAGTGATGGTTTAAAAAAAATCCTCAGTGATGTCCAGATAGAACATCAGGAGACCTTTACCACCTGTATTCAAATGATTCTATTGTTTTAAAGACACGTGCACCAAAACCAAAATAAATTGGGAAAACTTGGTTTTCTGAAATGTTTTTATATCTGCAGCAAGGTAGGTATTAAGGGCTAGAGCAGTGGTTCTCAACCTTCTGGCCCTTTAAATACAGTTCCTCATATTGTGACCCAACCATAAAATTATTTTTGTTGCTACTTCATAACTATAATGTTGCTACTGTTATGAATCTGATATGCAGGATGGTCTTAGGCAACCCCTGTGAAAGGGTCGTTCAACCCCCAAAGGGGTCGCGACCCACAGGTTGAGAACCGCTGGGCTAGAGGATTAAGTAAAGAAGGGGAGGTAAAGGTTTAGTAACAATGGCTCACATTTGTTTGATGGCTCTGTTCAGTTAGGGATGGATAAGGCTGCCTCTAAATCAACACTGTTCAATTACATGAACACCAATGACACAGAGGTGAGAGACAGAGATAGAGAAAGAGATAGAGACACAATAGTATACTTTACCATCCCCGGGAATGATGCGGAGGGTAACTGTGTTTCCCGCTTCCTTGATTAGGTTGACAATGTCTGAATGGGACTTGTTGGTGATGGAACATCCATTTACTGCCAAGATCCGGTCTCCTACTTTCAGCTTGCCACATCGGTCAGCAGGGCTCCCCTCAATAATCCGACCTATTTTGTGAGGCATAGCCACACATGCATTGCCTGCTTTGATAGTGAGTTTTAATTTTTTTAAAGTTACGTGGGAATATAGTACAGGGAGGAGAAAAAGGGTTGAAAAGGGGAAGAGAAGGTTAAGTGTTAATTCATTAAAGCATTAAGCAAATGTTATTAAAGGAGAGCTCTGCGCCGATGGTCAAAACATTGGCAACATTCAGGGCATCCGTGGGAGAAGCCACTGCCCTGACCTGCAGTCGTTTCCTGATTCAAAATGAGGGGGAAATCCCCGCTCCCCTTCTTACATCAATTATAAAACTTGGGGTATTTCACAACTTCAGAGATTCTCAAGAGCCCCCCAAATAACTTGCCGTGGACTGACTGTGGGACTTCACATGTGACCCAGGGCTGGGAAGGGTGCTTCTACACATTGTGTGCACGCCACGCCACTTTGCCAGCTGTTCTTTAAGCTTCTGCCAATGTTTTGTTCTCTATTTAGAAGAATAATCGCTGGGAGTCTGGTGAGGCATGAGATCTGCTAGCACCAAAGATTCAATCTGAGAATGCCTACTGGACAAACACTTCCACCCCTGCCTTCTCTCCGGAATGGCGAAAGCTTTAGAAAAGCAAGAGATGAGCCAAGTCAGCCCCCAACCCTGACATCTATTTTTGCTTTCATGACCTTTGCTCAACCATCCTATCTCGTGTTTTCAGGGTAGCGCCCAATGGCTCATGAGCTCTGAAATCCTCTTCCATCCTCACAAAACCCCCCACAAGGAACTATGAAGACCTAGTACAGTGATGGCGAACCTTTTGAGCTCGGCGTGTCAGCATTTTGAAAAACCCTAACTTAACTCTGGTGCCGTGTCACATATAGAAATTTTTTGATCTTTGCAACCATAGTAAAACAAAGACTTATATTTTTGATATTTATTTTATATATTTAAATGCCATTTAACAAAGAAAAATCAACCAAAAAAATGAGTTCGCGTGTCACCTCTGACATGCGTGTCATAGGTTCGCCATCACTGACCTAGTACCTACTCAGGCTGAGGACGGTGACCCACACAAAGCTAGGTTCAAACCATTCCTCACCCTGTTTCTTCAATCATTTCCTCTCTCCTCGTCAGCTACTACTTGTTTGCAACATGAAAAACCAGAAAGAGTGCATTTGAAGAGGAGGGTTTATTGTGCACTTTGAGGGATTCCATGTCTCAACCAAGAGTATTGCTAACTTCTAGAGAGAGGTGGGAAATTGGCCTCAAAGCCTGACACAGAGTTTTCAGCTAGTCGTATATTTAGTTTCAATGTTTCTTGGGACTTTGTCTTTCTGGGGACTCTGAAGACAGGTAAGCAGTTGAGCCACCTTTTGGAAAGGGTGACAAAACGAGCATGGGAGACATCGAAACTGAATAGGCTCTCCCAGCATCACTGGAACCTTGAGGATAAAATGTGTGGGAAAAGGAACTGTAAGTCCTTTGAATTTCAGAATATTTGCCTGAGTTTGTTTTATTGGATGTAATATTATGGTGAAAGAATTTTTTAAAAGGAAGTTAAACAGTTTTTTTGGGTACCACAGGCAGATGTGGTGGAAAGCTTCCACACTTAATTCAAGGTCTTTGTTAAGTTTTGCCCATCTCCAAGGACAACTCACATGGGAAAGGTGTCAACCAGCAGGTGTGAGGAAAGCTGCATAGCTCGGAACAGAAGTGTCATGCAAAGTATTAGGGACAGTTTAATACATTCATTGCAAGAACCAGAGGAAAACAATCAAAGACCAATTGTGAGTGAAGACAGTCTATATTCATTAACACATAGCCTCCCACCGGACATATCTGCTACTTCTTTCTAGAAAGTGAAACAATTCTGAAATCCTGAGAATACCAGAGGGTGCATGGGGACAGTCAAGATATGGATCTGAAGAAAATAACTTGGGAGTTTTCACTCCCCTGCCTTCTTATTTTAAAATTAAGCAGAAAAGTCTCCAAAACTAATTTTAAAAACAAAAAACACCTTGCCCTGATGTCATGTCACCCATCCATGACGCGGATTATTAAAGTAGCTCACAAAGCACTGTTAGTAATAGGTGCTTGTTACTGCAGCCACACATGCACAGACCTGCTGTCTCCTTGTGGCCAAACCTTAGGGAGACCGGCTTTAGCAGGACGGAAAGGGGGTTCCTCAGACGCAGGAAGCTAAAGAGATGGACCACCTCGCTGATCTTAGCCAGCAAGGTCCTCAGACTCCTGTGGGTGAGGTGTTTGGGGATAGAGCTGAGGTACATTTCAAAGGCTGCACAGCCCTTCCTGCCTCCCAGCACATTCTATATTCATTCGCAAATGTGCGTGGGGAATAACAAATTACTTTAGCCAATGAAGAAGGGGGATCATTCTTGGAGCACATACTTATAATCCATTCAATCGGGAACATTCATAGATTACTAGTTCCTGGAATCCGCTGGCTTCCTATTTGTCTGCTGAGAGGTAACCTTCTGAGGGTGAAAATACTCTGCTGAAACCCCCACACCTGGGCTAGATGGGAAACTCACTCCTGCTAGAATTCAAGGGCAAGGAAGACACATGACTCTCAGGTTTTAGATTGTTAATCAGGCAAAAGCAAAATTTACTTAAAATTGAAAAACATTTCAGATGGGGACAGAGTAGAGAAAGGACACAGATCAGGTGTAAAGGGCATTTCATGTAATATTTTTCCTTCTTACACCTCTACTTCCTGAGCGTTTTTACAGCCACATGCTCCTTACAAACCTCCTAGACCTTCAGATGCTACTATTTCCCCGGCGAGAATTTCTCGACATCAAGGGGTTGCTCTGCGCATTGCGTGCAGATGTCAGCATGCTTAGGGGTGCGTGTGTGAACACGCATTCAGAATGGAAGCTGAACGGTTAAAAACCCCCAACCTTCCGGAGGGAAATGCTACCAAACTGCATCCCAATTAAGACTTTAATCACCTGCAGCGAAGAGCAGGGAGGCGTTTCTGTTAATGAGATATTGACCGGCCTGCCTGGCGCCTCGGAAACCCTGGAAAGGGCACTGCCACTCACCGAAGGTCGTGCCCGCCTCGGGCCGGCTCACGGACGACACGATGACGAAGCCGAAGCCCTCGCTGTCCCCGCGCCGGATCTCCACGTCGTAGGGCTGCAGGGCGCTGCCCAC